CCACACATTCTTTATTAAAATAATATTACACGTAAATCAAAAACTTTTTCTTATTTCTCAACCACACATTTCACATCAATTTATTATTCTAAAATACATTTTTACATAAAAAAGCCTATCAAACATCCCTATATTTTACATTTTGTTCTAAATTTGGATATTATAAAAGCTGAAGATAACCTTATCCGCTTCATAAGATCTCAGCGTGAATAAAAGAGATTGACTAAACAACAAAGAAACTGAACCCAAAGTCCACCACCAAGAAACCAAATAAAGATAAAAATATTAAAAGAAAATCCAACAATCAGACATATAAAGTTAACAGAAACATGGAAAAAATCACATTAAAATACGGTAACAGAAAATAACAACACTGACACAGACCTTTGCATTCGCTCTTAGCTTTGGCACTGATATTAACTGCACACGATCGTCCTTCTTTTGTGAAAAAGCTCGCCCAGTTCGCTTTCTACATGCAACCTGAAAGTCTTTCAAAATTTTGACACGATCCTTCAGCCTTTTAATTTCTTCAATCCTTGCTTCTATCTCTCCCAGCTTACTTCGCATAAGTTTTTGACAAGATCTATTCTTTTTGATGGCATCAACAAATGCCAGTGCTGAACTCGGGAAATCAGAATTTCTAACTGGTAACCCAGCAACATCATTGGTTCTTGGCCCGTCCCACTCAAATAAGTTAGAAGGCCTTTCACCAACAACACTTTCATCATCACATGCTTCTGTCACCTGGGCAGCAGCTTCTTTTGTATCTACACAATTAGAAAACCCTTCCTGTGCATTAGTTCTTTTAACAATGAAATTATTGGAAGTTTCCTTTTCCCAATCTACGACAGTAGCGCCCACCTGCTCAGGTATATACAAAAAATCATCCACGCTGTCTTTCAAGGCACCTGTACCCAATTATGCAAAATTCAAAAATGAGAAGTCATAATTATATATCAGCCTCAAGAAGATTCTCTCATCTATCAAATTCCATAGGAACAGAATTTAAATAATAGATAATAAAAAAAAGCTTCAAATCCATGAACAAATCATTCTTAAATTGACATTTGATAAAGGATCCAAGTAGAATTTGGAAAAAACTATGAGCTCATATTAACAACTTCAGTGACAAATCCATACATAAAAACAATAGTAAAGAAGAATGGCTCAAAGATTAAACTGCATAAAATAAAATCATACACAAAGCATATGGCATTCATAAGCATGAGGAAATATCATAAATAAAGACTTTCTACAACCATTTCAATCTAATTGAAAGCAACCAATCGTTATTCTTTACTTTCAATAATAGCCACTTAGTGCAAGATAAATTCACAATTGAATGAAACATTTGCGTTTCAAATTATATGTCTTCAATTCTATAATATCAATAAAACTTGTTTTCCTGCAGAATAGAAAACAAGTAAATAATATAATCTGTTAAAACAATTCAACATAAATGAAAAGAAGACACATTTACCATCATCATAGGCCATGAAACGCCGTCGGATGGCACGTAGGGTCTCAAAATCATCATCATCACCATCATCACTATCCAACCCAAGTGGCGGTAGCGTCAACAGAGGTTTCAGAGTCAGAGGCTCCTCAGCCTCGGTCGAACTCGCAAATCGTTTCCGAATATTGCGCACTAATTCAATGTCATCCTCCCCATCATCATCATCATCATCATCAGATTCAGGCTCCAATAAAACACCACCGCCGCCGGCGGAATAGGACGCCATAGAGAGCGATCCTTCGTGGTCATCAGGGTTTGTGCCGGTTAACTGAAAAACTCGCTTCAAAGCTTCCATGTCTTCATTGAACCCATCATCAGAATCGCTATCCAACAGTCGTTCGTCAGATGAAGGCATTTGGAGAATTATTAAAAAAGAATTTTGGAATTTTAGAATATGAAGGGGTTAGGGTTTTGTAAAGAAAAGGGTAATAATTGAAAGAGAGAATTGGCGGTAACGGCTAATGCGAGCTCAAACCCTGGCCCATTGGGCGGACCGAAAAGATCCACTTTTCAAATACAATAAATTGAATAAATTACTCAACTAGCACTAGACACTTGTTTGACCGCCCTTTTTGGCTAAGATGCATTTTGAAAGTGTTCTATTAAAAATTGGGTGGTTAAAAAAATTTAAAAATAAATAAATTGAGGTTTACATGAAAAATTATTTTACGAAAAAATGTATGATTGAAAATGAATTCTACAAAAATAAGATTTTGAAAAAATGGGAGCTGAACATATGTTAAATTGTACAAGCTCCTGTTTCATTTGGCTAAAATTACTTTTAATAAAATTTGTTTAAAAAGTTGATAAAAATTATGGGATCCATAAATTTTGTGATGGAAAATGAGTTGAAGAAAATAAATTTTAAAAAATTGGGTCAAACAAGCATATAAACAAAATAATTCACGTTTTAAAATTTGAATTTTCACACTCTTTTTGACGATTTTGGTATTAGAGATGACAAAAATACTCGAAACCTGTCTATCAAGAAATTGAATGGGGGTTGGGACAGACTGGCACCAAATCTAATTTTATTATATTTTTCATGTGTTTTAAATTTCAATCATATTAAAAAAATAAAAATATATATTCAAAAATTAAATAAATTAGTAATGGAGATAACCTCTCCGTAGCCATCCCCATTTTGTACCTTTTGGTTACACAGATTTCTTTTTGGAGCTTTCATTTAAAGAGCCTAGCCAAATAAAACATTAATTTAAAAAGTCAACAAACTATGTTTTTTAAGTAAAAGGTCTAAAGATATAGAAAATGGAAAATATAATTTGTAAATGACTAAAATGTCCTTACATACAAAAAAAAAAAATTATTGCCCTAATTTCCATTTTTATTCCCATTTAACCCTAATTAAATCGATTCTAGCTTCCATTTGTTCTTCAAAAATCGGCTTTATAGGTATACAATCCCTTTCTTTCTCATCATCATTTTTCTTCACTTAATGAAATCATAAACTCTACATTCCCTTTCCCTAGAACACTCATTTGGTTGAAGTGAGTAATAAAATCTTGGAATATTATTATTGAGCATTTGAAGAAGAAGATAGTGTTGTAAATTTTCAATTTTTGGGTTACTTTCTTTATCCATTTTTTTGAATAATTTCTTCATGTTGTGTATATATGTTTATGATGTTTATTTGTGAATAATGATTTTTATATCATTTTAACATTGGATTAGAGATTTGATATGGGTTACTTCCCAATCCTTTTCTCATTACTTGTCATTTGTGTTAGTTAGAGTGAAATGTAAGTTGGTAAAGGCATGTTTGACTATTCTTTTTATTGGTCTACTGTAGAGCATACATTTGATTTTCGTCTGTACATAACAACTTACATGTCGTTTTCTACAATCTATAACGACTCACATATCGTTATCAATATTGTACAACGTTTGAAATTTCATGAAATTTTTTTATTGAATTACAGTTATGGACGCCGCGAATATAGTATTGATATCAGTTTGTTATCCAGTTGAAAATGAGCAGATATATGCATGGAATGATAAAGGAAAAACAACTCATATTCTTGTTACGAAAACTATTTCTTATGTGGAGTTATATGATAGAGTAAAAGAGGTGTTGAACATCGATACAAGGCTGTTCAAAATGAAGATTTCAGCTCTTGCCCTTATAATGTCTAAAGCTCCAGCTACTCCGACCATAATTGATTGTGACAATAATGTGAAGTGATTTCTATCTGTCTGTAAAGAAACTTTTCTTTGTGTAATTATTTCATATGAAGTTGAAAATTAAAAAGATTTTGGTGATGAAGAATGTTTATTACTAATAGATGGTGGAGGACAAATTGCAAATATGAACAACGAGGAGAAACATGTTCGAATGGATGGTAATCATGACAATGATGATGAAATATTTGTCGATTCTAATGATTTCAATGTAAATGAAGATAGTTCTGGAAGAGTAGATAGCAATGATAATTTTTCAGTAGTAGATGACAATGATGTGGAGTTATCCATGGATGGACCCTTTAGTCAGAATGTAGCGAATGATAATGATGTTGAATGTGGTTGGATTGTATCTGCAAACACAAGTTCGATCCGTTGTGGGACATTAGTAAGAATCCCAGAAAATGAAGATGTGCAAGTGAACCAGTTGTTTGCATCAAAATATGAACTAATATCAAAACTGCAATTAATGGCTGTCAAATGTCACTTCTAATACAACGTTAAGAAGTCGAATAAGAGCACGTATACAATTGTTTGTATTAATGAAAATTGTAAGTAGCCCTTGCGAGCAATCAAGATCGCAGAAAGTCCTATTTTTGAAGTTTGAGAAAGTATATGATCATCACTCTTGCTTCATAAGCGTTCATTGTAGAGACCATAGGCATGCTTCATATATGATCATTGAAAACCACATCGTCCCTAAGTATCAAGATACTAACCCAGTTTACAGACCAAGGGACATTATTAATAACATTCATCGAGAGTTCGACATGACCGTAAGCTATACTAAAGCATTTATGGCTAAACATTTTGCTTGTGGACTGATCCGTAGAGAACCCCATGAGAGTTATGCGAAGTTACCAGCATATTGTCATGTTTTGGAGATGCAAAATCCTGGTACGATGACATTCATTCATACTTTTGATGATCAGCACTTCAAGTACTTTTTTATGGTACTGGGACCAAGTATACTTGGATTCCTCAACTCAATGCAAAGGGTAATATCTGTAGATTGTACATTTCTGAAATCAATAATGAAAGGTACTCTGCTCATGTCAACTTGTCAGGATACAAATTTTCAAATAATTCCACTCATATGGGGAGTGGTTGATTTGGAGAATGATGAATCCTGGACTTGGTTCTGTCAGATGTTGCATGCATCAAAGATGGATTTAGAGATGTTTTTCAGTATGCTTATCATGGTAATTGCATATATCACATGTAAAAGAATTTTAAGAAAAAATTTTCGCGAACTGATCTTGCAACTTTATTTAAGGCAGCTTTAGATGCTTATTCTATACCAGAATTTGAGTCCAACATGACAGCTTTATACAGTAAAAATAAGGGTATTAAAGAGTATCTACTAGAAGAAGATTTTCATTATTAGGCTAGAGCACATTTTGCTGGGATACGTTACAATATCATGACCACGAATAATATGGAATCTCTAAATAATGTGTTGAAGAGTGCTCGAAAATTTTTCATAGTTGGTTTGATTGGATATATTCGAAAGACACTGCAAAGATGGTTTTATGAAAGACACGTTAAAGCAGAAAAAATGTGTGGCTTACCTCACGCCACCTTTTAGAGAAAAAGATGTGCATGAAATATAATGACTCAAATGGGCTGGAGGTAAATCAAGTATCTCCAGGCGTTTTATTAGGTTAGTGAAAATTTAAAACACTACTTTGTGGACTTGGATGAAAAGACCTGTACATGTAGGAAATTTGATCTGGATAGGTTCGCCATGTGCACATGTAAGTGTTGTTGTGAGGTTTAAAGGAGATGACGATTATAACCTATGTAGCCACCTTTACACTAATATTAGTTGGAAGCAAGCATATTCTATATTCGTATACTCTTTGTCAAACGAGGTCGAATGGCGAATTTCCAAGCATATGATGTCTAGAAAATTATTTCCACCATT